CTAGCCGTTTAAAATTTCGTGCGACTTCCGCCCAAGTCAGAGAACTTTGAGCATGCTGCAGAGTGCCTCTAAAGAGATCTGACTTGCAGCTGAGCTGATTGATAGACTGATCACCTATCGATTCTTCTCCCTGTCGCTGAGCGCAACCCTCGATGTACCCTTTCCCTGCCGGCTTAATTTGTGGACGGATTAGCTGGCCTGAGCCTTGCCAGCTGGAGCAACTCACATAGTTGTTCAAGCGACCGGACCACCTGTGTCGCGGCTACAAGCGGCGTAAGTAAAGTTTTTGCAACCAATAAGCTGTGTCTGCCTCTCCGTTCACCAGCCCACCCAAACGAACGAGTGATATTTGAATCATCTTGAGTCGGCTCCGGCCGTCCGAGACAGCACCTTGAACTTATCCTTGTTAAATTGCATCCTATTCTGATGTGCCCACTTCCCCAGTCTATCCAAATCTGCCTGGATTCGCTCCCTGCCCTCCAGTGTATTTACTAAGCCCCGTAGTTTGGTGTTGTCTGCAAATTTGGACAGAATGCTTTCAATCCCCTCATCCGAATCACTGATGAAGATATTGAACAGCACTGGTCCAAGGACAGAGCCTTGGGGAACACCACTGCTCACATCTCTCCAGAGAGAAACCGCCTCATCCACCACCACTCTCTGGGTGCGTCCCATAAGCCAGTTTTTCACCCACCTTACTGTGAAAAAATCTGCATCATAGCTACTCATTTTGTCCATCTATTGGGGCTTCACTCCTAGACTGGCTGCTGATCAGAATTAAAGAGCCCAGTCTACCCTATCATGGATTGGACTTCAGTTCCACAACTTTTAGGTGGCATTTCCTCCACAGGGGGTAAGACTAGTACCCCCCTCTAAAGTACTCTTATGCACAAAGTCATTGGCACCCTAAAGATTGTTAGGTTGTTTATCTGCTGCCCAGCACTCAGTGTTAACAGTCGCAGGTAGTTCTGGCTACTGTATATTATGGTAGCAGTTTTTACTTTCCCTGAAATAAGACTTTTGTCCTGATTTGGTTCCTTTCCACCCTAAGGACAATACCATGTTCAAGGAGCAGGTGCCCTCCCTCCCCTGCTGCAATGCCACATATCCTCAACCGGGTCACTCCTTTCTGGTGTAAAGCAAGGAAAAGTAGGCTACACATACACATCCCTTTGATCACCCTGGCACCTTGCTTCCTTTATGGGTTCAGAAGGGGTCTCAGTAAGCAGTGGTGTAGCAGGCTGGCAGTGCCAGCTGCCACGGTGCAGGTGGCCACAGATGGATCTGGGATTTTGAAAAGGTGGCATGGCTCATTGTCATGTGCAATACAGCACACATTTTTCTCTGGTTAACAAGAAGCTAGTGCCGTGGGTTGGCACTGTAGTATTCAGTTTAAAATAGAAGCAAGAACAAATATCACTATTGGAATGTCCATTAATTTGCTCAATTATGTATTATGTTAATAAAGACAACAAACTAGACATAAGAGGGCAAAGATGCTGCGCTGTTAGTTTGGTTGTTGTCACACTGACTGTACGTCTCATTTACTCAAGAGTTGTTAAAAGCTAGCACCTTGGGCCTCTCGACAACAGTGTCTCGGTACATCTGGGGCAGTCGTGTCTATGCCCCACTTCTGCTTTGTGGCCAGAGCTAAAGCCCAAGCAGAGGCTGCAAAGCTGGGATAGGTGGGACGGGCTGCCATCGCGGCACAGGAGAAAGAAGCATTTCAACGAAGAACCTCGAGACCTTTGAAGAGGAGAGAGGGGGGCACTAACTAACACCTGCGGAGGGGAGAGATTAGCAGGACTCGAGGAGCTGATAAGGGCCCTGAGGCCGCTCGACCCCTCGGCGCTGCCTGAACAGAGCCGCGCCGCCCCGCGCCACCAGGCCCCCGGGATGGGGGGGAACTATACGGGCCGCGAGCTGGGGTCGAGCCCCCCACGGACCTAGCTGCGCATGCGCGGCGGTGGAGCCCGGCCAGACTCCATCTCCCAGCAGCCCCCGCGGCGCCGGAAGGGCCGGTTGCCTGGTGAGAGCTGCGTGGGGCCGCTCCGCCTTGTCCGCCCGTTCTTGGCAGGTGCGTGCGCGGCTCTCCCGGGCCCGGGCGCGTCCCGCTGTGGGGGCGGCGAGTTGGGGGGTCGCGTCAGGCCCGGCCCGGCCGCCTGTTGGGGTCGCGTCAGGCCCCGTCCTC